TGGGTGTGTTAAGGTTACCACGATAACTCTAGTTATTTCGAATGTTAGTGGGTCGCGGATATGAAGATGGTTTACCTTGTATTTTGGATTGATTGTTTTGAATGGGTGATTGAGTTGTATGCGTAATTTTTTGAAGAAGATAATCGGATTATTATCTGAAATGATAGAAGTAATTTAGTTAGGAGAGTGGAAATGGTTCTATGTGGGGGTATTAGTTTTGTTTTTTTTTGATAACAGGTTGTAGAGATTGCGTTTTTTTAGAAGTTTATTCAAATATATGTCTTTTCAGTTTTAGATTGTTTGAATTTTGAATTCGGCATTGTGGCTGTTGTGTGGAGTTTCGTTGAATATGATTGTGAGTTTCCGTTGTAGTTCACATGTAGCACATTGTTTTATGTTTTTTTCGCGTGTGAGAATGGCGATGATGATTTGGTCTAATAGCTGAATATTTTTATTATCTTTTTTTGTTGATTGCAGTTTATTTTTTTCTGTTGTTGCTATGTTTGTATAGTTTTGTGCAATTTGTTCAGCTCGGGATATAGTTTGCTGTGTGATATGTTCGGTTGATGAGGGTTCGTTATGTAAAGCTAATGAGGTGAATATGTGGTTGATATTTGGTAATTGTATGTTCTGAAGTGTACATGATGATCCGGGTTTGTGATGTTGAACCCATTTTTTAAATATCACAATTTCATGTAGGATTGTTTGTTGATCATGTATAGCTTTCCATATAATTTTGGCAGAATTTATCTAAAGGTTTATGTATATTGTAAATATCTGTGAACAGTTTGCATGCTCACCTCTGTTTGCCGTGGCTTCAATGTGTAAAAATGATCAACGAGTTGATGTGCTTGGGCATCTAATCGGAGCATGGTTTTACGTCTGCCGAGTTCAAGACGAAGTTGATGTTGATCTTTTTGTATTAAACTATTGATCATATTTGTAACAAGTGTCATATCAATATTGGGAGGTATTTGTTTCATATGTTGATTAATAGTTTCTTGGATTTGTGGACATTGTTGTTTGTATTTCGCAAGACGTTGTTTAATTAATACTTTTGATCGACCATAACTGTAACACATTGAATTAGCTTCAGCCATTTTTTTCGACACTCGACCGGTCCAGATACCTTCGGTCATGCCTAAATTATAATAGTAAGACCATTGTTCGTGTTGTAATTGAGTATAGTTTAATTTATTGACGAGATGTGTAAGTTGACGGATAAATACTAATATTTCTTTTTGATTCAATAATTCACTAAGTGCTTCGGTATTCATATTATTTGACGTTGATGTTAATAACATTTCTTTAAACTTGCTGTCCGATATGGTTAAGTAATTCGGTAATAATAATGTTGGATCAGAACTTGTTGATAGATCCAAAGGATTATAGATTTTTTTCATGGGCAAATCTTGTGTTACGGATAAATTCGGAACCTGTGCATTTGGTTCAATAGTTGCTAATTCAAGTTGGTTACTAAAAGAGACTTGTTTCTTTTTCATACGTAATCGACGATTTTTCTTTTTGTAATTTTGACGTTTGCGATTTTGTTTATTTTGATTGAATTTGTTGTTCATGCTTGCTTGCTGATAGCGTTTTTGAAGTTTGATACTATTTTAGGTTAGATATCTGAAATGAAAAAGAAAAACAACAGTAAATATAGATTTATTTTAACATAGAGAATAATATGAGAAAAGAAACTAAAGAATCTAGAAGGTAGTTTATTTTCAAAAGAAAAAATGAATTTTTTTTTAAATATCTATATAATGTTCATTAGGTATTCACACCGTTGCCATTGGTTCCATTGGGTTTTTGTTCTAAGAGAAAAATAATAATAAAGAATAGGAAAAAATAAGTTGGTTATATATGTTACCCATGTTTAATGGATCTTTCAGTATTGATGAAGATGGTCGTTTACGTGAAAGTTCGAATTGTATATTTGGATTGTTTCGATAACCGACAATCAATCGAATATCTCCATGGATTGTATTCTTGAAGTGACTATCATGTATCAGATGAATTTCACGTGCTAAGCCTTTGAGTCTGGCCTCATGTGTAACATGAACAAAGATATTGTTTTTGAATTTAATATTATTTCGTGTGATTGTTGCCTCCATTAATTGTGTATTTCTTTGGGGAACTGGTTGAGTATCTTGTGTGAGATTGACGGCAGCTACACTTCTAGCAAGTTGTGTTTGTTTAGCTGTTGGTTGATTCGATAATGTTTGACGTAACGCAAAAAATTGACTTTCGTCTGTAGTCATTGGTAAAAGTGACGAAGTAGATGACAACCTATAGCCAGCAAAGAATTTTTGGAATTGTTCATTAATATAAGTAGATGGATATCTAAAAAAGTCGCTCATTATTCAGTTATATAAAAACTTAAGAAAACAAATGATTTACCTATTATATAAGAACATGGAACGAATAGCACGGCGTTCGTTATTAAATACTTCAAATGACGAGGAATATCGTACCGCTCTAGTGAGAGCCGTTTGGATCACATTTCGAAAGACATGTCGTGGATGATCGGATGAAAATGATACCACTGTTGGTTGAGCCGAAGGTTTATGATAGATCGATGATGCCAGAATACCATGGTTGTTCTTAACAAACACATCGAGGAATGGAGCACTTTTACCAATGGTATATTCTAATTTAATATTTGGATGGAAATTGTTTGCAGCTTCTAATAATTCTTTGACTTTGCCTTCGGTTTCGTTCGATGTAAAGAAAACGTCATCAACATATCTAAAATAAAAGAAAAATACTTATCTTTATTAAAATTTCATTCTTGCAATTAAAACGAAATACTTACCGGCCATATATCTCATGAGAACCTAACTTTGGTAAAATAGTTTGTCTTTCCCATTTCCACATGAAGATATTGGCTAAGGTTAAAGTAAATGCGGAGCCCATAGCTCCACCAATAATTTGTCGATAAAATTTGTTACCACAGACAAATGCATTGGCTTTAAGTACAATACGACCTAATTCCACAATAGTATCAATTGAAATTCCATTGACTTTTTCACAATTATGTACACGAAGAAATTCAGCAAGCACAGCTAAGGATTCTTCTTGTGGTAGCATAGTATAAAGATTCGAAATATCGAAGGTAATGAAGAGAGTCGATGAATTAAAATAACCATTCTGAATATATTTTTGAAGTTGATCAAGAAGGTTAGCACCATCCACAATCGTCGTTTGACGTACAAATCGATCGAATAATGGTCGAATTAATTTATCTAAATATTGAGAAATTTGCTTAGTTGCAGCATGTATGGTATTTAAAATGGGTCGAAGTGGTGTAGCTTTCTAAAAACAAAATGAATTATTATAATTATATTCAAAAAAAAAGAAACAGATGTATAATAGGTAGTCACCTTATGTGGTTTGGGAATAAAATACATATAAGCTAATTCTGTCTTTTCCCGAACAGGGTGCATTTTGGATCTGTGCCATTCACTTATGCGTTTCATTGATTTCAATTGATTAAGTAAACGAGTTACAGTACAAATAATATCATTGAATGGATTCGAAGTTAATTCTTCATAAGCACCTGTGGTTTGTCGGTATTCAGCCGCTTTTCGTTTATAATCAATGGCACGACCAATATGTAGTACACCACTTTTGTCTGTTTCACGGAGTATAAGTTTATATTTCTTTAATTTTTTTCGAATTGATTGAACAAGTTTTAATTCTCGCAGAGCACGTATTTGATCGATTAATGGTATGAGAGTCATATAACTTTGAGTTAGACAGGATCGAAGTTGATTCGAATATGATTTATATACGGGTGATGATAATGGTATGTTTGGTATATCTTTCAAATTGGACATGTACGTCTTAATTTTAGCCATTGTATCATCATGTTCTTTCTTAATTCGTTTTTGTACAGTTTTTTTTGGAAAAAATACACTTGGGTTGGGTCGTATGTATGTCGGTCCTGAAACCAAAAAAAAATTTGGACGAGTATGTGGATGTGTAAAAATTTAGAAAATAATACAATCTTACCTCGTGAAAGATAAGCAAGTTGAGTATCAGTAAATGGATGATAGATGAGATCGACAATGACATTCGGCTTGAGAGTTACTGTTTTGTTTGTGAATTTTGAACGTCGCTGAGCACGTAATAATTTTTTTTTATAAATAGGTATTTTTTCATAGGCTATCTCTTCTTTTATTCTATTTATCCGATGATTGATATAATTAAGAAAAGATTGATACAGAGTTGTGATTTCATTATTTAAACAACTGTGACTTGAATTAGTTAATTCGAATTGATGTAATTCCATTTCATATTGATGTTCGACTTCTGCAATTTGACTTTCATATGCATCAATATATGTATTAAACCACGTACGTTTAGCTTCTTGAATAATTTTATGTCTGTTTTGTTTGAATTCAACAGCAATATTATCTTTAATTAAAGGAAAATAATCATCAAATTCAATCAACCATTCTAATTCATCGAAACTTCGAGGTAAAATATCGATTGCTACTCGAGCTTCCAATTTTTGAAGATCTTCACAGAAAAGTACTTGTTCTTTTTGTAAATGCATAAATCGATCAATCATTGTTTGCTATGAGAAAAAAAAAGGAAGTAAAACAAAGTTTGAATAATTAAAATCACTTTACCTGATCACTTGTAAGAGGAGAACTTGAGAAAGTTTGGAATAAGTCTATTTCTGTAATCATATCTTGATATCGATTGAGTTGATATTGCATTTTAGTTGCTAAATATTTTTGTTGTATTCGAACAAATTCTTGAAGATGTTGGTCGAGAGTGGATTCTAACCGTAATAGTGTTTTTGGACATGATTGCAATTGTATTCTTAATTCATTGGTAAATTGATCAAATTTAATTTTCATTCCATTGAGATGTTGCTTCACAAATTGTTCACACACTATATGTTCATTGGTTTTTGCCATTTTCATTACTGAATTCTATATGAATTGAAAAAAAAAGTAAAATAAAATAATACATTTAAAATAATGTTATGTTTGAACTTACTGGCCACACTTCCTTTTCGGATCCTAAATTTAAATATGATTGCCATAAGTTTTGACGAAGCTCAAGACGACATTTTTGATCCAATAATTGAAGTCGACAATGAAGAAATTGTCGTGCACATTTTGTTTTTAAGGTATGCTTTAATAATATACGTAAATTTTTAAATAGTAGCTTTGGATGTGCTTTCAAGTAGATTGGTAATTTATAACTTGGCTTTAATGGAGTCATAGTAATTTGGGATGATTTGTTTCTCTTCATTCTTTTAACTATGGCATGTGAACTTGATCGTTGACTTAATGAGGGTGTCCTTTGCTGTTGTTTACGTTTATTTGATTTTGATGTTGTTGCTTCGTTTCCATTTAAATTAGAATTCAAGTCAGTGGAAACGTCTATTTGTTCAATTGCTGTTGCTTGTATCTTCTTTTGACTATTAGTTTGATTTTGATCTGGATTATTATGATTATATTCATTAATTAAGTGTTGTGTTTCTTCTTTGGTCAGACCACGTTTATAGCATTTCTTTCTAAAACGTTGTAGTTTACGATTACCATGACATTTTTTTCTTCGTTTAGTTTTTTTCGTTGAGGATAGTACTGGTTGCTGTTGTGGTTCAGTTTGAATTCGTGAATTCGAAGGCAATTGACCCGAATGCTGTTGTACAGTTGGAATTAAAGTTGAGTTTGAAGCTTTCATGTTTTTTAGAACAGAATTTGCAAAAAAACTATAGATATATCTGAAACAAATGAAAAAAAAAACATAAGTATATAGAAGAAAACTGAGGATAATGAAAATGATGAAGTTTATTCAATTAATCATGTACAGAATTTAAACGAACAAAATCATGTTTATATTTATAAAAACGTTGGACACCTTCACTGATATTCGTCCAGTGTTGTTCAATGAAATGAATCATGTTGCTGCTGAATTTTTTATCATTTTCTTCTGATTGTTCTTGGAGTTTGAATTGTTTTAATTTAGTATTAAATTCATTATGATATCGATCCATTTGAGCTTGAGCAGTAGAGAGACACAACTGTATCATATCTTTTTTTGCTTGTTGTGCGATGTTTATATATTGATCATATAGTTTTTGTCGAATAGATTGATTTTTTATTCTTTTCAAAAGTTTTTCATTCGGGATTCGTAGAGATGTGGGCGATGATTCCTGAATCGAAATGCGATATTTCAATAAATTCAATTCCTGTGTAGTTATTTGTTCTTGATATTTTGCATGATTTAATGTTTCCACAGTTTGTTTCTAAAACGAAACAAAAAAATATATGTAAGTAAATTAAAAATTTTAAAGAAAATTATTTTTACCTGTTGTGGAGTTGGATTATAGGCCATAAATTTTAATTCGAAGAGATGATCATTGTAATTGTAGTGAACAATGGCAATTTGTTGTTCTGTTGCCAATCGAGCAGATTCAAGTTGTTGGTGAACAAATGTTTGTATTTTTGGTACATAATTGAAGTATTGGTTTTTCATCATATTATATTTGGTTTGACATTGTTTCATTTTATCATCTAATTCATCAAGATGTTGTGTCACGTAAGTTAAACATGCAGCCATATCAGTGCTATCAAGTGATTGTTGACGCATAAGTTTTTGCACTTCAATGGGCCAAAGGTGTGGATGACTAAGCTGATCATGATCCATTTGATTTAATTGGAGCTGGCCTGTACCTGACTTCAAATAGATTGTCCAAAGTGATTTTTGTAAATCGATCATAAAAAGTTCATGTATCACAATGGCCATTTGCCGTAATTTTTCGACCAATTCATTGGATGATAAATTGCCGGTCATTTTTTGAAAAGATTCACTTTCTTTTGATAGATAATAGGGGATATTTTCCGCATCATCTTCATTGACACTAATGAGATGTTCAGGTGTGTGATGAGAAGTCACAGATAATTGATTTAGTCTTTGTGATAAAGCTGGTTCTTCTAATGACTAAAAAGAAATAAACAAAAAAATTACTAAGAAACGTATTCTTGATTAAAAAAACAATACTTTTAATTGATATTTCATAGGAACTTCTTTTTGAATTTCGTTGACCAATAAATGCTCATCTTCTCTAATAGAAACCTTGTCCAAGTTTAGAACCATTGTACTAGGTTTTTTATCTTGTCCCATAGACATTGGTGTTGATGACAGTGGTTTATTCCGGCGCCCTAGATTATTCATCCCTGAAATAATATTGTTGATGTCGAGTTATTCAATGTTGAAGCAAACTATATCTGAAACAAAAAACAAAGATATACTAA